TCGCGGTAACCACGGACATCCAGCATATCGTCAATTTGACCAAGCGACATGAGTCAGTGAGGACATTGTTAGTGGAGGGATCACGCGGCATTGTGGGGGATGTAGATGATTCCTTGAAGAACCTTGTGCGACTTCGAGTCCTGCACCTTATGCACACAAATATCGAGAGCATATCACACTATATCGGAAATTTGATACACTTGAGATACTTGGATGTGTCTCATAGCCATATAACGGAGCTTCCAGAAAGCATATGCAATCTGACGAATTTGCAGTTTTTGATCCTCAAAGGATGTTTCAAGTTGAGACAGATCCCCCAGGGTATAGATAGGCTACTCAATCTAAGGACACTCGATTGTAAAGATACAGACTTGGAGAGCTTACCATGTGGAATAGGAAGGTTGAAGCACCTCAATGAACTCGTAGGATTCGTGATGGACACGCCTACTGGTTCGTGCCCATTGGAAGAATTAGGCAGCCTCCAGGAGCTCAGATACCTCTCCGTTGACAGGTTGGGGAGGGCGTGGCTGGAAGCTGAACCGGGAAGGGATACGAGCGTATTAAAAGGTAACCATAAACTGAAGAATCTACATTTACATTGCTTATCCACACTGACATCCGATTGTCACACGGAGGAAGAGATTGAAAGAATGGAGAAGGTGTTGGATGTGGCACTTCATCCACCATCATCTGTTGTTTCGCTCAGTTTAGATGGTTTCGGCCTCCGGTACCCCAGCTGGATGGCGTCTGCAAGCATCAGTTCGCTTCTTCCAAACATAAGACGCTTGGAACTAATTTATTGTCTTCATTGGCCACTGCTTCCACCGCTAGGGAAGCTCCCTAGCTTGGAGTTTCTTGAAATCGTCGGTGCAGATGCAGTGACCACCATCGGACCGGAATTTTTTGGGTGTGAAGTTGCTGCTACCGGTCATGATCGTGAACGGAATTCAAAGCTCCCTTCTTCTTCTTCTCCTCCTCCTCCTCCTTCGTTGTTTCCGAAACTAAGGCAGCTGGAACTCTGGAATATGACAAACATGGAAGTGTGGGATTGGGTAGCGGAAGGTTTTGCTATGCGTCGCCTCGACAAATTGGTCCTCGAAAATTGCCCCAAGTTGAAGTCTCTACCGGAAGGCCTGATCCGACAGGCAACCTGCTTAACCACATTGGATCTGTCCGATGTGTGTGCTCTCAAGTCCATCAGAGGTTTCCCTTCTGTAAAAGAACTGAGTACAAGTGGTGAATCAGATCTGGAGATTGTTGCTGATCTTCCTGCACTGGAGTTCTTGAATTTGGGCACGTATCGTCGTCGCAACAATCATTTACCAGAGTGGTTGGCGCAACAATCATTCACTACGCTCCAGAGACTGGACGTGCGGGGAACCACCCAAATACTCCGCAGATGCCTCCAAAATGGCGCAGACTGGCCCATGATCGAACGCTTTCCAAAATTTTCCATCGAAGATGGCCGAGGCAATTATATAAACTACATCAAGCATTCCTGCACCTTCGACACAAACCTAGTCGATGATGATGCTGTTTTTGCTGCTGTTGCTGCTGAAGAAGAAGAAGAAGAAGAAGAAGAAGAAGTCAATGAGCTTTGAGGTAACTTACCTTTCATGCTCACGTCTCCACCATCTAACGTCTTCTTTTCGTTTTGGAGTGGCAACTCACAGTCATCTTTTGCTGCTTATGGCAGGGAGATCGACATCAATCACGATGTAATTGGCAGTCATGTCTAATATGATCATTGCAAATGGAGTTGACCATGGAAAGTCGGAGACTTTTTGAGCGGAAATGCAGATCGAGAGGTTCGTTGCGACTCATGCTACATTCCCATGATATGGTGATGAAACTATTTTGGCTTTCTGTATATTATGGTGATATCAATTAAAATTCCAACAATATTATATCTGATGATTAATTTAGGGGAGATTAATTATATTGACATATCTATAGGATTTTTTTTGTTTTATAAGGATAAAAAATGCTGCATCTAAAATTATAAAAGTCAATAAACATTTAATCATGATTAATTATAATCACATTATTTAAGAAAAAAATAAACAAATAAACAAATACTAAAAGATATTTAATTTTATTAATCATTCCAAATCTTGAAAGGGTATGAATGTAATTTAGAGTTACAACTAATAGTCAAATGATATTTAATCTTTGAG